CAATTAACAATCGTCTTCTCCACTGAACGTGAACTCTTTAGGAGACAAGAAGGTCACAATTCCAGAAGTAACATTTATTCCGCGTTCCACAACTAGCACGGGGTCCTCCAAGGTAATCAGTCACCCAATGCAAGATGTACAGGATCAGTGACAGAGTTTTTCAAAGCCACGGGAGATATCAGTACTCATTCAAGTACATGACCCACATACTCGGCATTTGGTTAGTAGTAAACAGAGTATAATAGTGTAGTACAATATACCGTCAGCGTTATGATGGTATGTTTAATATTAACGTACAATGTTATCAAAATATATCACAAGTCTTTCTGACATCAGCTTTCATATTGTGGCCTCCATGTACGTGCGGTTTTGGTATTCGGGAAAAAATCCGATGCGGTTTGCGGTTTTTTGGCGTATATCTGTGCGGTTTTGCAGTTTTCGGACCCCCCTTAAGCCCCCCTCTTTCACCTATCACAGTTTCCTAGCTTTTAACTACTTTTCTTCAAGCATGCATGTATCGTTCTCGCCCTCTACAGTAGAGAGGCAGGGCTTTGTGACCCATACACCTCGCAAATAGCAAATTTATAAAAACGCATAAAAGTCACTGGCTTCTAAGCACTTGCAGTTAGCACATGGCAGTGATGACATTCAAGACTACAGGGCTGTTCCATAGAAGTGCCCAGGTGCCACAAGTGACTAACCTTTGTGACTGGGAAAACTTACTTTTTTCATACAGGCTTAAGTGCTGACACCCAGGATTTCATGGTTAGGGACCTTTGGGCTCCTAATAAATTTTCTAAAACCATTAATAAGCCTTGGACAATAAAATACAAAAAAAAAAACAGCCTTGGACTATATTTTTACTTTTTAAACACAACAAAACCAAGAATTCAAAGAGTTCTGACAGAAGGGTGGCAAATTGTAAGAAAGGTAAGAAAGACTCAGGCTCACAGAAAATGTATCTGTCTCTAATTTACCATTTGCCACCCTTGGTTAGATGGTTGTGGAACTCTGTGGCTGGCCATTTTTTCTTTTTAGAGTTGGCCAACATTACCAGAGATGTTTCAATAAATGCCATATTGATTGCAAATAAAGGCTGAATCATTCAATAACGTTTCTCCTGGGGGGGGGGGGTGGGGGGGGGGGTGGGGGGGGAAGTAGAAGTAGAAATACTCCTGGTTGCTCCATTATTATCCATGCTACAGAAGTAAACTACAGAAGTAAATACAGTCCTGATGGGCTGCTTTACTCGTATGCAGACTAATCGTTACACGCCTTGAAATTCCACATTTACAATGGAGGCAGTCATTTTGCCTAAACAACAAGTACATCAATGAGAANGGGGGGGCTGGCATTTTGAGGTTTGACTGTAAGTCTTAAGAAGCTGACCTTCTGAAAGCTTCATCACAGACTTGGCGATCTCTGATTGCGTATTGAGATGCTTCTTCTGCTCTTCTGCTCTCCTCCAACTGTCGAAGGGCTTTGTCTTGTTTTCTCTTCGTATCAAGCCACTCACTGTAAGCTGTCTGTGCATCACTTTCCTTTGCTTCTTTTGCCTGTTTTTCTAGATTTGGGTCTGGTTGGTTCAACCTGGCCTGACGTGCCATTTCTATCTTAGCATATAACCATGCCTACAAAATACAAAATAATAAATCCAAAATTACTGGATCAGACTTACTTATATTAAAAATAATATTCCATGGCATAGCATGTCGTGATAAAGCTTTCTGAAAAAAATTATTTATATTTAAACAACTGTTTGACCTATTATTTATATGAGCATCTTTGCTGACATCATTGTTTATATTTTCCTTCATTAGCAGTTATGACTTTGCATAAAGAAGGCATCACATAGGATACAAATTGACCCCAGATATTTAAAGAGCTTGTGAAACTTTGTGATTGGTGAAAAGTTTAGCTCTTTGGGCGTAATATTGTTCAAAGGATATATTGGCTTTCAAAAATTTCTGGATGCCAAAAGCGCTGGTGAGCTCATCCATTGTTTGTAAAATTTGTGAGTTTTTCAACCTGAGTCACTCAAATCAGGCTCTAATTTCTTGGGAGAGTTTATATGTAGTACGCTCTTAGTTTCAATTTTCAGAGTTCCGATATCCTTGTATCTTCTCAACCACTGACTGAAGTGCTTACTGAGGCAAACGTTGTAAACAAAGACTCCCCTTCACATAAGCATTGTTGAACCCCCTAATACAGCCTATCTGGGGCAGATTTTAATGGTTACTGTGCAGAGGAACGTTTCTAGTACAATCGTTAGGGTGGTAAATGGTAAATGTGAGACTTTGGGAGAAGGTGAGACTAGCATTTTTCTTTGCCAACCCAAAACAATTTGACTTTTCAAATTTTGTATTAAAAAAAAGATGTTCAGACGCTTGTTATAAAACAAATAAATGAATCAAGACTGAGAGAATTTCTTATTAGTCTTTCAAAAAATCAAAACTCTGAGACAGCTTTGTGGAAAAATAAAAGAAACTGTGAGATGCACATAAAAGCTAAAAAACGAAATATAAATATACTGTATATTATAATTCAGGAATTTCTAATATATCGGGGTAATACCTAATATTAGGGAGCTCAAGCAACGACGAGGACGACTTCGAGGACGACGCCTAGTAAAAAATGAATTTATATTTTACAAGCGAAGTTCGCTATTGTCTAGATCTGTCCGGTCTGCCAATGGCTCTAAAAACGTGCTTAAGCTGATTATGCAAAGATGGAGTTCAATTCCAAATGAAAAATACAAAAAATTAGCCGTCGTCCTCCACGTTCCGTAGACGACTCAAAACTTGGTCATTTCACGTTGTTGTATTCCAGAGGACAGCAAAGAAATGTACTAAGATTTATAACGCACGTGCACAGCTATTGTTTTGCTCATTAAACCTTTCGTTCAGCAACGTTCTCGTTGCCGTCGTCATCGTGGTTTGCTTAAGCTCCCTATTAACATTATGACCACCATGCTTTAACTCTTAGTTTCATAGTGGTAAAAATGGACATAAACCACAAATTAATATGAAGTTTTATGTCAATAAAACATTAGGTATCCTGTTACATTACCACTGTAAATGGAAGGTTATATGCTGCATGACCCTTGAGTTGAACCAACTAAAAAGTTTTTGTCTTTTGAAGCCGATATTCAACATCGTTAAGGATCTCGTTCGAACGTTCTAGAACACGTTAATCATCATACCATGACAAGCTTTACCTACAACATAAGGTTTAAAAGAAAGAATACTTACTTGAAAGGCCCTGTCGGCGTCTTCTCTCTTTCTTTGTTGTTCTTCCCTTTCTCTTTCTTGCTCCTCTTTTTGTCTTCTAAGTTTAGCTTCTTTACATTTTCTTCTGATTTCGAGTTGCTGTTCAGTCATTGCATAATCAGATTTTATATGAGCATATTCGTCGCTCCTCTGTCGAAGAGCTTTCGCGCTTTGACTTCGAGTCCTATCAACTCCTTTTGCAGTTCTCTTCTTTTCATTTCTTCGATGCAGTTCGTGAACCGATGTAGTTTTCGGTCTTGGCCGCTTCTCGGGCTTATCCTCGGCTATTTCCTTAACACTATTTTCAGATGTTTCACTGCCTGTTTCTTCGCTCGTGGCGTTTTCGCCATTGTTTTCGGGCGCTATTCCCAACATGTCATAATACTCTGCTTTGATTTCACTGACATCTACAAGTTCGAATTTCCCGTCACGTTCTATTAGAACGCGATCTCCGATCATCTCCATCGCCGGACTTTTTGTAGGAGACGATTCCGAAGAGTCTTCTTTGTTATTACTTTGTAAGGAATCATTCTGTTCATCGCCAACTTTTCCTGCTGATTCACTGCGTTCATCAGCCGCGTCGCTTATCGTCACGCCATTTTCGAAAGCTTTAGTTACTTCATCGTCTTCGACCGTTCTTGAATTGTTGTCATCATCGTTGCTCGAAGGATCGCCACTATGTCCGTTCAATTTTTCTTCACCATTGTGCAACTGTTCATTTTCATTTTCATCGTCTTCTTGCATCAGTTTCTCCATTTCTTGCTCGTCTATACTGCTGTCAGAATCTGCTCGCGGTCGGGATTTTTCAGGTGACTCGAGATCGCCTTCGTCCTCCGAGAAAGATGCTCTCGTTATAGAGATGCGAACTTTGCTGGGATTATTTGGATTAACTTCGTCTTCGTACAAATCATTCTCCATGGTTTCCGCGTGATACCAATGAGTTTTCTTAACTCTCAGAGGGTCACGACGACAAATCGGAAGGTTGTTTATGTCCTCGTTATTGTTCGCATCACCTGTAGCAACCCCCAAAGCAAACACTGCTCAGTCATGTGACCAACATCCAACAAGGAGCCATTTCGAAGTTTTGGCGCGAGCGCGCTGTCGTTACAGAGGGAAGGCCAAAATATGAACTTTGGTGCTGTCCTAATAAGTCTTATTTCACAGGCAGCCTCATGCATGAGTGGTCGAAATACTCGAAATTTCCGTCATAGCTTAGTTACATTTCATGGTGACACTATACATTATATATAAACCCCGGGAGGGGGTCGGGGGAGGGGCGGAGAAGTAGTCCCGTAAATTTCGGATAGGTGTGTGCCGCGGATAGGTGTCTCCCTTATAGCCCATATAAGGGAGTACCCCGTCGGTACACATAAACCATAGTCTCTATTTGGCGCGAAAAGATGCTCGGATATTTGTCCGCGGACATTGTCTGTTCCAAGAAGCGAACTGTGAGCTTTGAGGAACAGATAATGTCCAAAGACAAACATGCGAGCATATTTTCATTGTTTTTTTTGTTGTTAAAGTGAGCTAGATTTGGGTGAGGGTTTGGGGAATTTAGCAACGAGGTTCCAATTTGAGCATTGCATTCCATGTAGTGTACTTTTCCTCCTTTTTGTCAAGTTTATATCTCAGCCCGTTGGACAATTCTCTTCCTTAATTTCCCATAAATGATCAATTTTTAAAACAAGACCGCCGTCGTATTTTTTTAATCTTATGACCCTAACCTTTAACACATGATAGCGCATTGCAGACAATTTGGTCAGTACTGCTTTCGAGGGCAAGCGAATTGACGTATTTTTGGTTTGAGGACGGTATAGGGGTTCATTGAAGAATTTTTATCGCATTTTTCCAGTACAAATGGGGCAGGGGAACTAATTTCCCAGAGGTCATTGCGAGCTTCCTTGTAGCATATGTGAGTATGCCTCAACTTATCGCGGCTTTAATTTTTTTAATTACTTTCGTACTGGGATAAATATTTCTGTACTGGGATAAATATTTCTGTACTGGGATAAATATTTCTGTACTGGGATAAATATTTTTGTATTGGGATAAATATTTTTGTACTGGGATAAATATTTTTTTTTTGGGGCCACCGTACCTTTGTCAATAGGAGTTGAACAGGGAATGCTTTCTTCAACCCTGATTTTCTCTGAAACGTTTACGTGTCTCATTCATGCCACAAAGTACTCAATTTCACGGAATAACGACAAACTACCAAAGTGGGATTTTGGAGCCCACCAGGATCTTTGAGCATGAGCTTTGCTGTGTTTACTTCATCTTTTAAAATTTCATCCGAACAATGTTAAACCTTTCAAAGACTATTGGTGTAATCGCTAGACTCAATAAACCGTACACCAGTAATTTGTTAATTTTTTATGATTTCATGACTTCTGAACAGTGATGGTATGTGTTTAGTCAAGATTTACACCAGTGAGGTAATCGACTTTACAACAACTCTTAGAGGTTTTTCAATGTCTTTTTCTGAAAGTTGTCCATGTAGAGATACAGACATGTGACCAATTTCTCATAGTGAACGAAACACTCTTTGTAAAAGTTTCAGTTTTATGTAGTGAACAAGATCTGTTAAGGAATTCAATCGAAGTCATTGGTGCCCGTAATAGTGAGTCAGCGACAGACCATAGAAGTGGGAGCTATTGAATGTCTGCTATAGTGAGGTATCCACATGGCAGTTAACATTTTCATGAAAATGTTTCCAGTATGACTAATTCATAACATCCCTAATATTATTTGCATGAGACAGTCTGTTTTCAAGTTTTTTTTCAGTTGTTAATCATCTAGTACTATAACTGTAGGTTCTAAAGGAATGGGCCTCCTGGGAATGTGGCACTTCTCAGCACTGCTTTGTTGCTGCTTGATCTGTGTATTTTCACTTCCAAGAGGTGCAAGAGTCATTAGAGTTACTCTTTTAGGTTGTGCTTGGTCATTGGTCATTGCAAATTGATTGATTTTGTTATTTTCCTTGTCAATGAGAGATGTTATGGATTGTGCCTTGGTTTCCATGGGAACAGGTGTGAGTGCTACTCTTCTTGGCTGAGAACTGCCAATGGGTTTCTCCGCTAAAATCGGTTGAATCACAGAAGGCTCTGTATTTGTGCAACTTGATGCAGCACTCTCGTTGGGTTCTTTTTGCTGAGGAACCTGTTGGTCTACAGAGGTATCATGTTCTTTGTAACCTGGCCTAGAACATGTTTCCGCTGACTGGCTTGGTTGTGCTGTTCCACTTGTGTGGTCTTTACCAACATCAGTGGTTAGAGTGGTTAGTGACACTCTCCTTGGTGTGGTACTAGGTATGATTTGGGGGGTAGCGGATGTTTGCGGAGGGCTGGTATCCCTTTTTGTAGCATCAACTGAAGATGTTGATGAGACAGTGTGTCCATCCCCATTGGATGAACATTTGCAGTCCATTGCATTTGAAGTCTGTACGTGTCCAGGCACCAAGTTTGGTTCCTGTATTGAAGTTGTTGTGTTGTCTGTGGATGTGCTAACCACTGGTGTCAGAGCTATATGCCTAGGAGTTACCTGGGCAGTGGGTTTGTTTTTGTCAAGGCTTTCATCCAATTGGCTTTTTGCTACTGGCATGAGTGGGACACGCCTAGGTGTAATCTGACTTCTTTCATTTACCATGGGAGAACTGCTTGCATTTAACTGTCCTTGAAGTGGTGTTAAGGTCACCCGTCTGGGGGCAGCTGGGCTTGTCTGTAATCCTGCAACGTTTGTAACTGGCTGGATGTTCTGCAAGTGACCAGGAGTGGCCTGGCTACCTGATCCTGGTACAGTTGGATTGATAGATGATGGCTTAACAGGGGCTGATGTCAGTGTGATTCTCTTGGGGGTCACTTTGCTGGCAGGTTTAGTTGGTGTGATCTTCATTGGCACAGTAAACATGCTTATCCTACCAACTGGTTCTTTCTTGGTTATAGTCTGAGGCTTGTCCACCTTTTCCTCATTGCTGTCTTTTTCTGCAGATGAGGTTGATGTTGGCTTTTTAGCGATTTTACCTGTACAAACACAAACAAAAGGGTAAGATTTTGACACAAAATAGTTAGGTATGAGAAACAGAATTTAATTTAGTTGCAATCCTTTCCACAAGAATGGACTAATATAGGCAATAGTTTTCAAAAGTTATTGTCATATACCACAAGGTTAAGTGTGATTACCTGGAGTATCAGAATTTTGTGGCAATGGAGAGCTGCTTCTTTCCAACACTTGTTTGACCGACAGGCTGTAAGGCACACCAAGCTCATCTCTTTTAAAGTGAACAATGGAGCAGTAGCCATCAGAAGAAGAAACTACAAGCATGCTTCCATCGTTGGACCTTAAGATAATGACACAACCATTTCAATGAATTGTAATAGCTATTATAATAATTATGACTGAGTGTGAGCCAAGTAGCAAGTAGATTATTTTATTAATTCCAGGTAAAAGCCCAGTTTATGTTGATTTTGTGGAGAATTTCTATCCAATAGACCTTTTTAGCCTAAGTGGTTTGTTTTCCTATTTCAAACCACAAGATATTCTCTCTAGACAACATTATTCTTTTATCCATTTAAAATTTATTCATTCCTAGACACCCGATTATTTGAAAATTTGACAGCAAGACTTTTCAAGAGTGTTATCACATGGTCTGAAATGGTCCAACAAACCAGCCAAGCTAAAAAGATCTATTAGCAGAAGGGTACAGCATTTTAAATAAACAGACTGACATAAATACTACCATTGGCACCATAATGGGAGGTGCTATGGCCTAATAGTTAGGGTGCTGGACTCTGGATCGAGCAGTCTGGGTTTGAGCCCTGACCAGGGTCATTGTGCTGTGTTCTTAGACAGGATGTTTTACTCTCACAGTGCCTCTCTCCACCCAGGTCTGTAAATGGGTTTCAACTAGAAATTTACTGCTGTTTGTGATGGACTAGGTTCTCATCCAGGGGGGAGTAGAAATTCTGACTTCATGCTACTGAACAAGAGAGAAAGGGAGTGGCCTGACCAATGATAGGCATGCAAAGTGTGTTAAGAGTTAAGAATACATGACCCTTGCACATGTTGCAGCCATATACCCTGGGTAATGGTTACTCTAATATTAGAGGGTTGCCATGTGTGAAGAGAGAATTATCACCAGTAAGTACATACCAGGCCACATCAGTAAGAGCTGCATAGTGAATATTGCCAATGTAGCCAAATGGAGCTGTCTGTTGAGTGTCATACAGCAGGATTGAGTCCAATGTTGCCATAGCAAACACCATACGGTACGGCAACCTGCAATGGGAAAGCAGTTTTAGGCTAACATTACAAGTCAGTCAAGTAAGGGGACATTCAAGTCTAGTAATCTAAAATGCAATTATAACAATGTATGTGTAAATCATTAAAAAGGAACTTACTTGAAAAGACTCTTTGCAGACTTTTCTTCACTTTTGGCTGTGAGATAAAAGCAGTAATTCACTGTCAACATTGTGATTAATATGTTTATAACACAGTTGAACCCTGCTGTCTCAAAATCAGGCCATTTTCCCTTAGATATACCTTTTTGGTCTTGTTTAACTGGCTATATTGAACTCCTGCTATCTAATATATATTAGAAAACAGTCCTAAGAAAATAAGCGTGCTGACTGGTTAAATATCGTGTTTCTATAACTCGATGGAAACACAGAACTAGCACAAGCTGTTGATGTAATGATGGTGCGAGCAAAGAGAATTAACATTTTGATGATCAGAGTCAACAGTTGTTTTCCTTTTTTTGTCACGGTGTTTTCTAAAAGAAATAGAAAACATGTTCTCCGTGTTTCTATCGAGTTATAGAAACACTCGTGAAAGTTTGGGAGAACTTGAAAGAGCTGTGGAAACACTCGCCTGTGGCTCGTGTTCCCACAGCATTTCTCGTTCTCCCAAACTTCCACTCATATTTCTATAACTCGATAGAAACACGGTATGTGTCTTCTATTTCTTAAATAAGCTTTATTTATCCTCCATCTTACAATGGATTAACATAATTTAAAGGGGAATACATATATAGTGAATTACTAGTAAGTTAAATTACTTGTAAGGCCAGTAAAAAACAGATCATAAAAGAGAAGTTTTGCAGCTCTTGTTAAAAACGAGTTAGTATGTCTTGCGTTCCTGACAAACAAACCAACAGCGTGAAAGTGGTGTTTATGATGTTGCCTCACCTAAATCGTGATGCGCAAGTCTAGTAACAAGTTCTAAATCTGTTCTATTAATTTCTTGTAACATTGTTTTTGGAGATTTATGTACATAGAGAGGATCTTTTATACTCATGTGATGAGCTTGAATTGTTCATGGACTTGCCCTATACATTTCAAGTACAATTTGGACACTGATCACAATTTCAATTGAAAGAATGAGTTAAAAATTTAGAGGGTTCCTTTCCTTTTCTAACATAAGAAAAAAGTGAAAAAAGAGGTAGGTAAGAGGCAAACCTTACCATTATCTTGTCTTAGTTCAAAAAGGATTGGGCAACAGCGCACTGCCACGGTGGCCTTTTGAGGACTTGGAAGATAGAGGACTGGCCTGTAACAAAAATCAAATATCACTGATGTGAATAAGAAGCTGTTACAACCACAAACAAGATTCCTAAAATAAACTAACTTCTCCAGTTTACATTAAATGTGAAATGGAGCTATTATATGGATATATTATGGATAATAATTTTATTATTTTACAGTCAGCAATGTTAACATTGAAATAGATAGGGAAGAGCATTTCCATGGATCTCTTAATTTGTTGTACCTGAAAAGCCCTGTTGGGGAGCATCAATAAAGTATTTATAAAAGAAGTCCTCATACTTCGTTCTAAAATCTTTGAGGCTCAATCAATGGCTCCTGTTCATTGTTTCAAATAATCCATGAAGAAGTTCTTGAAATTAAATTATGAATGATCTTGAATGCCTGAGGGTTGGGTAGGGTTGGGGACTCCTATATAAAAGTGACAGGGGTACTTTCTAGGGGTTCGATAGAAAATTTTTGAATGAGCAATCCCCTTCAATTTTATATGGGAGTTCCCCCTGGGCTTGAATGGTTGGTCCCTGGTCTGTATCTGTCTTAGTTGTCTACTAACTTACCTAGAATAACATTAACATGTTCTGTTTAATAGTTTATAAAATCTTTCTAAATGTTCATAACAACTTGGGTAGTGTGAAGGTGAATTAATCAACATGACATGAGCGTGAGACAAAGAAAAATTCTGAGTCCCCGACAGAAATCGAACCCATGACCTCCTGAACACTGGGCGGACGCTCTGGAGTGCTCGAGAGTGCCCGCCCGGTGTTCGGGAGGTCATGGGTTCAATTCCTGTCAGGGACTCAGAATTTTTCTTTGTCCCACGCTCGTGTCATGTTCATTAATTCACCTTCACAACTTGAGTAGATAAACTATGTGTTGAAACTGTCAACTTGAAGGTACTGTACTCCACCCAGCATTCAGTGGAGACACTCACTTGTTAGGTGATGCACGCGTGAAAACATAAGTTGTATTAACCACCTGATCACCAACATCAAGTCTGCCAGCTGTCAATCAAAATCGAATAGGACAAAAATAAGAATCGCAGTAATGAAATCTTGGTTATAATGAATTCAGATCATGTGTACTAAAGGCATGATATTTAGTGAGGAAGAGACATCAGCCTTAGCTAGTTTTCATGCAGGTCCTCTGTCCTGGCATCCACGGTTGAGGGTCTATTGACACCTCGTCGACACTCAATCAACATGTCGACCGACACTCAATCAACACTTAGCCAAGTGTTGACCAACTCATATGTGTTGATCTAAAATTAATCAACTCAGGACCAAATGTCAACCGAGATGTGGATTGAGTCTTGATTGAGATGTTGATCGAGGATCGCCCGAGGGTATCGATCAATTCTCGACCGTGGATGCCTTTGGTACTCATGATCCTCGAAATCAAAAGTAAATTTTATTTAGTTATTTTCGGTTGTTTATTATTTGATAATGACATCTCACCTGGGACTATAAGCAAAGAGCCATCGGGTGAATAACTTGGTCGACGGAAAAAGGATGGCATGGTCTCATCATGAAACATTTTTCCTTGCTTAAAGAGCTAGAAATTGAACAGCAGAAAATAATTTTATTTTTGCTGAAAACAGAGACACAGACTATCTTAAATCTCGTCTCTTTTTGAAACATTGGTCACATTTTAATTGAGGGGAAGGGTGAAGGTGGTATATTTTACCTCTCCATTTTCAGCCGTCTTTTGAGATCCATTGACCAATAACTTGGTTATGTTGTAACAACAGCGATATGAATTGGGATTGTACAGCCTGCAACTCCTGCAAAATAGAACAATATAAAAGAAATAAATTATAATAAAAAAGCATAATTATATACCTTTAAATTCTGATAATTAGTACAAGGCTTATATTTGTTAAAAAGGTTTTTAATGGTGGGCTATTGATAATCGCAGGGTTTATTAGAATTTTTCATTTCAACAGTTTCTACAGTCCCTGCTTATTTGCAAGAATTTAAAGAAAACAGCAAAACTTTTAAGTTTGAAAGATATGTTTTGACAGAACCTACTGTCATCTTCAGTTGACTGATGCACAAAGCTTTTTGAAAACTATAAGTTTGCTTATCATGATTCCCCTTGCTTTTCCTTTATGGGTATGGAATAAAATTCCAACATGTAATTACCTGTCACTGGAATTTGTCACCACATATTGACCGAGTGGATCCCAGCACACACCTTGGACGTAATGTTTGTGATCCTTTAGAATGATGAGCTTTTGACCTAACAGAAATTAAGGATGACTGTAAGCCTAATTCACAAGGATTCATAGCGATAAAAATTAAGTCTGCCGTCTTTTAGTAGATTAGCAATGAGAATCCTGTAGAAAATGTAGACACCTTTCAAAATATCCCAAATAATGGCACTGTTGTCGACAGATCCTGAGATAAGGTTGCTGCCATCTGGAGACCAGCATAGATCATAAACATCCTCTATGTGGCCTCTACAAAAAAGAGACAAACATGCATTAAATTGTCTGTATTTTGAAAGGAAGACAACATTCAGCTGACACCCCTGGGTGCAAATTGATTTAGAATTTGTGTGGTTTTGTTTGATGGTAAAAATCCTGTTTGGGAATTTTAGAGGTCACATGACACCTGATATTAAGCTATACTTTTAAAGCTCAAAGTCCTCAAATTATCATCAGGAAATACACAAGTAAATTCCCAATTCTCAAGTAGAATGGAAAATGTTTATAACAGTTTTGATCATTATTATCGGAAAGCAAAAGTGTTTCCATAATTACTTGTAAACTATTATCAGGAAAACACCAAGAGTCTAGACAAACTTATTTTACCTCAGAGCTTTGTGAAAGGTCCAAGATTCCTTGTTTTGTACGTCATCCGTTTCCATAAATATGTCATTAGTATTCTGATCAGGGGAATTATTGAGCTTCCATAGAATAATCATAGAGTCTAATAGTAAAACGAGACATAAAAATAACGAGAAATCAAAAATAAATGTTGCTAATTATCAAATACCTGTATTACAATGCATGACCTGTGAGGACTCACATGTACTTAATGATAGCAAAAAGTACCATCCGGTCATCCAGGACAAGTGGATTCTCTTTCTGGGCAAGTAACTTTTTCATTCTCACTTGCCACACAGGCAAGGGATCAGGCAAGTCACCTACCAACTAACTAAGACTTGCCCAGGACAAGCAAGCTGGAATTCATCAATTTTTTCTCAGCCCAGTGGGTAAGGGAGGAGCAGTCAGGATAAAATAAGTCTACAAAAAACCAAAGTGGCCCATACAATGATACCACTGGCCAGAGCATATCCCAGTTTTCACACCACGAAGTGAGCAGAAGCATAAACTATGCTTGTTCTCCCCCCTGGATTGAATGTTGGTCCATTGTGAGGTTTTGACTCAACATTAAATTTGTTGCTACATATTTATACACCTGGTTGGAGGGGCACATGTTAACCAAGAATTATTGACGGCTGAGGGGAGAACAAGGGGCAGGGGTAGAGTATTGTTCATTCCATACAAATTAAATCAGACTTACCATCTCCACCAGAAGCTAGAATTTCTTCTGTTGAAATGACAAATAAACATGCAGTTATACATAAGTCAGTTGTGTGAAATCTAGAGATAGAATACATACCAAGCATCATGCTTTTGATGCAAGACTCACTCTTTTTAACTCAGGGTGCATTGCTTTGGGGTGATCTGGATCAGGATCAGTGATCCAAGATCACTCAGATCATGCTACATCNCCAAATTTCATGGCTCGCTGATCAAATCTGATTGGCTGAAGAATCTGAGCATTCGGTGCGTTCAAAAAATCAACTTCAGCTAGATGTTCTGACCTCTGGCTATTTGGCTAACATAATTTCGTCTGAATGATTATCCATTTGCTAATTTCTCCTCGAATATCAAAACCAATTCATGGAAGCAGCTTTAATACGAGAATAAAAAATCTGGTCATCATTTTCTCCCAGAAAACCAGTAGAGAAAAATCAAGGTTTGAGTAAGCTTACCTTTAGGTGAAAATTTCACCACGTTCACAGCCTTTGTATGGCGACTCAAATTGGCTAAAAATTCGATTTTTGTATGCTGATCTTCACTGGAATTTATCGACCAGATCTGTGTGGGAATAAGAAAAAGATCTAAAATAAAACGCTTCGTATAGAACAGTCACGACAAAACACAAAGGAAAATGCACCTTTAATTTTGTGAAACAAGTTTTGGACGTTTTTCGATCGATCCTACCTTGACATCGTTATCTGCTCCAGCGGAAGCAAGTCGCCATGTTGATCCTACTTTGCTAAAATCAACGCTCAAGATTGGCTCTTTTCCATGCCAAGCGATTTCTGGAGTATCCAACCTCATGTTTGAACGCTATAAAGAAGACAATTTAACCCTACTTTTTGATAAACTGTCAGTTTTGTAGTAATAAAACAAGAAAGAACGACCGATCAAAACCTACACGCAGCTCGTCCCGCAAAACAAGTTCTACTTTCCCGCCACAAATCGTAGCACCATATTTGGACAGACTCGCCGATACTCGTGTGTTCGGTATCTCCAAATTTGGAAGTTCTCGGATGCGACGAAAAAACACATGTGTTTTCATTTGTAGCTAGCTTGAGCTCTTGCTAAGCTGTGGAGAAAGCTCTTTCTTCACATTCCGGATCATGCAGCGAACACCAACTTGCTGGAATTGTTGTAAGAGCTATGGCTTTAAAGGTAATGAATAGAACTAATGACTGATTTCAAACATACTGCATTCATCTTCAGTTCTGCCTGATCGACAGGTAGCTACGCCGGCTGCAAAATGTCAATGAGTTTTTGTTATGTAGCATGGATCAGCTGTGATCAACGTCGTCCTCTTTGGATATAAGCTTATGATGTATCTGTAGATATATAGTCAATGTGAGGAGTGTTAAGGTATTAAAGTGCCTGTAGATAGTAGGGAAAGGTTGGTAATGAGTGATCGTGGAACAGTATGTAATTATAGTTGTCTAAATAAAGAGAGCATCCTACATGTACAACAATTTTTCATTGCCCCTCGACACCATTTGCCCATTTTATCTTTGTTTAGAGAGTTGCAAATTTCTTGCATTCCTTTGTGACTAATGAAACAGTCCTAATACACATACCAAACGTTTTCCACTAGGATCTGACTCTCTCTATAAACTTAAGCTTGGACCACTCTCATGCAAAGTTTATGTCATTAAAAGCTGTTAAGACTAACCAGTAGGTAAAAGTAAATCTGCATACAAGCCTAGTAGCTCATCATCAGGCTGGAGCTTATTCCCGAGGGGGAGGGGGGGCAATGCCATATATGGGCTATATAGGTATGTGCCGCTGTGAAGGGTATGGTTTTCAAGCAGTTTACTCTAGGATAGAGTATATAAATCAGAACNATTCAAACCAGTCGATTTAACTCTCCTGGGATGACAAACTTAATACTCCTAACCTTAGTCTGATGTCAAACAAATCCATCTTTCATGACTAAAATTCAAATTTGACCATAAAGAAGTCCATTGTGGTTACAGTTTTTACTTAGGCTAGATGTTGAAAGATGTTGAAAGATGTTGCCAATGCATATAACACTGAAAGCTGGTGTAACGGAAACATTGACACAGGCAGATTCAGGGTCTTGAAAAGTGCACATAGACTGGTACCTGTTGGTGGAACTTTGTGTGTCCTTTCCTAGTAATTGTATTTACAGAGAACATAAAAATTCACTATAAATTGTGCTTTTCTGTACAGATGTCTCCAAGCCTATTGGTAACCGCATCCCTCTTCTATTGGAATGTGGCCACACATACTGCGAGGGGTGCATCACCAAATGGGCCAGATTACAGAAAACACAGGTCTTGTGTCCAGAATGTCAGAACTCTACCCCCCTGACCACTGAAGGAGAGAAGGGGGTGAAGGATATCCCAGCCAATATTTACTTGTTAGGAGTAGTGACTAATACCAAGAGAGCTTCATATCGCAGGTAACAAAACAAGATAGTGCTGAGAGCTAGCTGCTGCATGTTATTGTTGGGTTTGGCATAAAATTAATAGTATTTGTACACTGTTTGACAAAATTGTTTGTTCTGGCACTGGTAGTCCATTTAATAGAACTGAATGTGGGTTAGTGCTGGATCAACCTGTTTGTTGGTTTATCACAGACAACTTTGGATGTTTGAATGAATGTCTTTTGAGCTGTAAAAAGTTTTTTTTCTAAGTTTTATTAATCTAAAACATGTAAAATTATGTCATGTAGAATTGAGATAATAGCTGAAAAATTACAGTGGAAACATTTTATTGTGGCTTTATAAATGTCTCATGTTTGTCCCCGTATTTGTCTTTACTGTAAACTTTGGTTTAGTGATGTTCAAAAGTCTGGCCGTTCAAAACTTGGGACCAAAGCAGGTCTGCAGAGAGCAATTAGTCAATTTACACAGGAGAAGAAAACTGAGCAAATGAAAACTGACACTGGTGAGTCATGTTAAGTACGTTCTCAAACGAGTTCAGCAATCTTAATGACAGTGTGAACTCTGGCCACCTGTGAGCCACCAAATTCTACTCATATTCCTGGGGAGGTCATTGAGGTTAGGCTTTACTTTGGACGTAGAGAAAGTGGCCATAACAAGGAGGTCATTAACAAGGTGGTCATGGGTGACACTGTATTTAGTTATTAGTTTCTAAAGTAGCTGTTTTACTGCGTTGATGTACAAGCTTTTTAACAACTCAGGTTTATTAACTTAAATTAACTGGCCTGGTAACAGGAGATTTTAGAGTGGTTAAAGTATAGCCATGGTTTTTTTTGCCAGTGCATGTTTAGTGGATGTGTTCTTTTCTTCCCTGGCAGGTGTGAAATGTGAAGAGTGCTCCAGAGGAACAGCAACGTGCAGTTGTAATAAATGTGAAACTGTTTACTGTAGTGCTTGCTTTGAGAGGGTAATGGATGTTTATGCAACCCTTTTAATCCTAAAATAGTGAAGGGAGGAAAGAGCCCTGATTTCATTTTTCAGAATGTTGACAAATGTAAACAGTGCTCTATAAAGAAAGCACTTCTCAGAAGCTTTCATCTGAATGGTCCCGCTTTAGGGTTTCTCCACTTTGTTCAACCATCTTATACCGCATAATGAATAGTACCACATTTGACTGGGCACTAACTTAAAGGGTTTCATCCACAGACTAAAGGTTAGAATCACCTGGAACAGCTGCACTGTTATTAAACATTACAGTACTGCACAATAGTCTTCATTGTAGTAGCCACACAACAGAGTTTCATCTACAGACTAAAAAGCCTGATTCACGTTTTGCAACACAGTAAATGGTGTAAGATTAAAATAAATTACTGCTTGACATAACAGTTGTCAAATGCTAGGGTATCATCCCCTGATTTAAAAAAAAGTACTAGGTAATTTGTATTGTGTTGTTCCAGAAAATATCTACATGTATACCCCTCCCATGGAAGGTTTTTTTTTAGTTTGAATCCCCCCCACCCACCTGGGAATTCTGGTTAAGCTTAATTCTTACTTCCCTTCAAAACTGTTGGCTTTTGAAAACCCCTTCCCCTTGGAATTTCCATTAACCTTAGGGTGGGTAGGGATATTTTTTGGAACTGCACTTTTGAAATTTTCCAAAGNCCCCCCCCGCACCCCTCAGGAGAATAAAATGATTCAGATTAAAAAAAAAATGGTCCAGATTTTAACGTTGTTTAAATGCTTCTGCAGGTACACTCATATTCAAATGCATTGCGGAAGCATGTCCCCACACCTGTTATGCAGAAAAAGTGAGGAAATGTACTTTCTTGTTGAGCTGTTAGTAGTTTTAAATCATGGTGGCCTGGATATCCTGTAGTGAAGATTTCTTGTTACAGTGTAATTCACAAACATGTGTTTTTCTCGCACTGAAGTTCAGTACATATTTTGTGGCAGTGTTGAACTCCAGTTATCACAAACATGTTGAAATGAGTTACAATCTTAAAATTATCATCCAATCTATTTTGGAATCCATAATTTAATGCTGGGGAATGCTGGAAAGTTTCCTGTCATCCAATTCAGGACAATCACATGCTTCAAGTTGTTTCACACTTTGAAATCCAGAGAGATGATGCTCCATCTGGGTCTTTAGTTCTTATTATTTGAAGGGAATGAAACCTTTTGCCATTCATTGTGTTCACGTAGTGTAATGCAATCCTAATCCAGTTTGTAACGCAAATTTTTCACCAACAGTTCAAATGTCTTTCCTGGAAAATATTTTGTCCAGTACAAGTTAATGCTTAATTAATTTAAAACACTTTTACTGCAGGCTTCAACTTCATGTGGAGATTGTTATCTGTCATTCGATCAAACTAAGTTTTCTATCGAGCCATTTGAATGACCCCGAAGTAGACCAAACATGCAAAGTACGTGCGTGAACACACTGCTCTAATTTTTTTATATTTTTTTTGGTTTATTTTATTTTGGAATATACTTAAATTACTTACAATATGGACATTATCTTTGATTACTACTAGTTCTAGTTTTGTTTGTTGTTTGTTTATTATTTGTTTGTTGTTTGTTTGTTTATTATTTTTAGCAGTGAGACAGCAGTTGGTTGTCCAGTTCATAACAACAGACCTCTAGAGTTTTATGACAAGGATGTTGGTGAGGCTGTGTGTTCACACTGTGTGGTTGTAGGAGAGAGACAAACACATGCCATTGTTCCCATTGATGAAGTTGTAAGTCACAATTAAAAATGTTTGTTATAAATGTGTAAGAATTTACTGGTTTTTTTGTTGTCAGTAGGGAAATTATTAGCTACATGTAAGTATGTCATTGCACAAACGGAAACCTAAACAGCATCTGTTTAGTACTCCCAGCACACCTCCTGCCTCCCAAGCACCTGCAAGCCGCAGTGTAACCTCCTCAACTACCCAGAGGCTCTATTGCTTTGACAGTGTGTGTGTTAACAGGGTTTTCATTAACATTTTCAAAATGTTTTGAACTGAATTTCTTTATAAGAAGATCTTTCCCCCAGATGGTCAAACCAGGCAGGCGAAATGTCCTCACAACCAGTCAATTTGCCCGGTGCCCAGCCCTTATTGACACCCCAGATCTTAAGGCTTGTAACACCTGAAGGGCATTTAAAAGCAGTAAATTAGTCTAATAGTGTTTGTTAATAGAGTTGCTTATCCTCAAAGTTTGGAAAGTGCCATAAAGGAGCCGTTCTTTCCACTGACACTGTGAACTATATACTAAATTTGTTTATTTAAGAAAAAGAACAATGTGTTATAGAAATGGGAGAAGAAGTCTGGGAGAAAGAAAAATGTTGTGTGGAGTGCAAGCCACAGGCAAATGTTTCCACAGCTTTTTGAGTTCTCTCAAACTTCCAGGTGTATTTCTTTGACTCAATAGAAGCACAGAGAAAACACTTTCATTTCTTTTAGAAAATACTACACTGGCTGTAAATGTTTTCCTTTTGATTTAGGCTGCAGATGTTCAAGCTCAGTTCAAAGCTTCAGTTGATGGAGTCACTCGTATAATCAAACATCTGGATAAGTCAGTGCAGGTAGGATTTGTTGACCACCATCAAGACAAAAATGTACGTTCTTACTCTCCAGAAATCAAGCATGCTGAACCATTACTATTGAACCATTGATCTTACTACAGTACCTCCACCTGCTTTTTTGTGTTATAGAGAATTTGTAGAGCACTTCCTGAGGTTAAGGCTGAGAAGAATCACATTGCGAATGACATAAGAGAACACTTTTACAAGTTATATGCAGTATTGCAGATGAGGTAGAATTTGATATTGTGGCAGTCTGTGTGTGATAACAGTCCTGTGCAATGGTCTGTGACTAGAAGTCTGAGTTATTTATTGTCCTAGATTAAACCCTCATCAAAAGATTAGACCTTTATTATCCAGCCCATGAGGTGGAACAGGTGTTCTGAATCTTGCCATTAGCTTGTCTAAGGATCAAGTTTCGATTTCCATTCTTTCTGCTTCTTGAGCACAGACTTTTATCATGTGGTTTTAGAAAATGTCCATTCCCCTCAAAAGGAGGGTTTTTAGAAATTCCATGAGGGAGGGGCCTGGGAGTCTCTAAAGCGAACGTAATGTAAAGTATGAACCAATCCTGGAATTTCTAAGTGGGGGGGTGGGGATTCAAATCAAAAATCCCTTGGTGGGAGGGGTATGGGGTATGCCACAATCTGTTGTTAGATATCAGTCTTCAGCATCTGTCTTTCGTGAGAATTCTCTGACTGCCAACTGTACTAAGAAACGTATTTTGTTGCAGAGAACAATCACTGATCAAAGATGTTGAATTAAATCATAATGGAGAAAAGATCCTGGAGAAACTGGTAAGAAGGCATTATTAGTAGTGTCACTGTTTAGTTGATGGGCTTTCTCAACCAACAGTGAGCTTCTGTCATTTAATGATTATCCACCATTATTATATGAGCTAGAACTTATTAAGAAANACAATTGTGTGGTCTTAATTGCTTATTAGGCTTGCACGGCTGTTTTAAGTTTGTCAGAGAAGATGGTTAACATTGACAACTGATTGTTATATTTTTAAGAGTTTTAAATTATATTTGGCTTCACTAAACAGTTGCTAAAGGGAGCTCTGTCTGAGGTCTGGCTCAAGCCACACTCTTGTGACTTTGTATTTAGGTTTGAGGCTAGTAAAGAGTTGCAGAACAGCATTTTAGAATATGGATCAGTTTCATCAGATGGATGCGCAAGGTGACAATATCAGCTGAACTACATGTATCACATTTTGTAATTTGAGTGTTGATATACTTATTTCATTCAGTTGGCAGTACAGATTGCTGTTTTCTCCTTGAACATTTTGCATGTAGTTAGGTGTCTTTTTAGTTTTGAAAAAGGCCAGGGAGGCTTTCAGCCAGGAATTGAAAAGTGTGTCTCAGAGAATGAAGCTTCATAAGCTCTAGCATTTTGACTGTCTTGGAGACTCTTATACATGTAGCTAATAGCATGCTAATAGTCTGTGGAAGGTGCAGTGGGCTCATGGTTAGTGTGCTCGACTCTGGAGCAAGCAGTCAGGATTTGAGCCCTGGTCAGGGACATTGTGTTGTGTTCTTGGGCAAGACACTTTACTCTCACAATGCCTGTCTTCACCCAGGTGTATAAATGGGTACTGAACATCCCAGCCGGGGCGGGGGGAGTAGAAATACTCCTAGCCTCTTCATGCTACTGAAACTAAGATAAGCTTCAGCCTGATGGGCCACTTGGTAGACTTTACCTTTTACTTAATCATCTGTCAAGAAGCTACATGTATTACAAAGCAAGAAGATAAATGTGTTTCCCAAGGGCTGATTTATATTTTCTTGAGGAATATGAATGACATTGAAGTTTTGATGTTCATGTAACTCTGTCAATGATGTATTTTAACATCAGATTTGAGCTGAAGAAAATAAGTGAGGTGACTGAGGAAGATCTGAGAGACAACAATGATGATTCAGGGCCTGAGCTGTTTGAGGTTTCAGAGGATCAAAATGAAGATGAAAACATAGATCAGTCTGATGATAAAGTACAACACAAAGGAACAGCAAGGTCCATCACAGCTGCAAAGATTCTCAAAGCAGATCTTGCATGTTAGTTTTAGCTTATAATGCATGTCATTTGTACTAGAGAATAATAACACAAACTCATGCATGTTCTTCAGTCTACTCTTTCTTTGTTTCAGACTTATAAGACAGTACTTAACACAGCATTTGTTCATGGGTAGGCTTTGTAATTGGTACCTAGAAAATCTTTGGTCTTGGAAACATTTGATCCAATCTTGAAATCACGGAGGGTTTTATCATTAGTGGCAAGGTCTCATTTTCCTGTGTTTCTTTCTATGTCAAAGTCTAAAACTGTTTAAGTGTCAGTCTTGGATTTTTGGGAACTTGGCAAGTCTCAGATTTTACCTTTTGTCAGCCATACAAGTACGAGCAGTTTTGTAATTGCATGGTCACAAAACAGAACTTTGCTAAGTGCAGGATATTATCCAGATTGTGGTAGGCCATACTTTCTTGAACCAGTTTTTCTTTTTTTTTTGAGGGGGTGGGAACTGGGGGTGTCATCCATTTAATCAAATAAAATAATGACGATAACAATGGCAACAACAAGACAAAACCATCCAAACACAGAAATTGTGGCTGGTCTAATTAGTTACCATTTGTTTTAATGTTAAACAAGGTTCTGAACTAATTTCAAAGCTTACAAATTACATCTTCAAATCAAACACAGACTAACTTTCACTTTACTGTATAGTGTTCCAGATAAGTGAGGGGTCTCAGGAAAAAACCCCAACAAGGTCAGCTACATGATCTGCCAAATTGATAGAAAATTTATAATGACTTGGTGGGAGCAGTTGGAATTAACCCGTTGGAATTCTATATTGAACCCCTGGCCAGAAAACTTATCTGNAGGTGACATGTGTTGTGCACAGTTCACCACTGATAATCAGTGGTACAGAGCATGTATCAAAACTGCATATTCACCAGCCCAGCCCAATGTTGTGCCGACACTGGAGAACAATCTGTGTGTTGAAGTGCAATACATTGATTATGGAAACAGTGAGTGGCTGCCTCTCAGCAGGTAAACAGGAGTATAATCATTCAGTTCTTATAAGTGTTGCGTTAATTAATATTCTCAGCAGTTCTAGTCCACTGCAATAACCAACATAAAGGTGTACTCTTTGCCTAATGGTGAGCCATCTATGGCGTAGATCCAAGAACACCTACAGCGCCTTTTTTTTTTTAAAAAAGGACAGTGTTATTTCTGATTGTATCCCTATACTCTGTTTCTCTGTGTCTGTTCAGTAATGGATCAAAGATGACATCAAAATGTGGAAAGTGGCACAGCCATTAGATGAGTGTGTTGCTGATGTTCTTACTGCATTTTGACATCTTCTGTGATCTATTACTAAACAGATGCATGGCAACATGGAATCTATCTGGTTGATGTAATGGAAACAAAAAATTGATAACAAAGACATCTATACATTTGTCCTCCAATAGACCATAAGTAAAAAGCAATCAAAATGCGAGAATAATTTCACTCATTATAGATATAAATTTTTATAATTATAACTGTTCATTAATTTTGGTTACTGTGTTATAAGTCACAATGTTTGACTCAGAGCCTCAAGTTCGTGTTACTTGTTAACCTGGTATATATTCTGTCTTATCAGCAGTTTTTTGGTATTTATGGCATGTAGTAATTTTAAAAAACCTAAGATTGTATTTCTTGGAGGTAAAAGAATGCTTGTAAATTTCAGGCTGCGAAAGATGAAAGCTGAATTTCTAAATATGCCTGAACTAGCACAGTGTTGTTCCTTGGCAGACATTGTACCTCCATTCCAGGTTTGATTAACTTTTAACATAGAGAGTAGAAAGTTTTTATTCTCATTTCAATCCACCTTTTTGGTTTGTGTCATTGTGTATTCCTATTTCACTTTCTTCAGGATCCTTTCCTACCATACTGCTTTAATGCTATGTTTATCTCTTTTTCTCCCGAAGGAGGAAAAATGGCCACCAAAGGCCACAAAGGCATTTGGAAGTCTGACTGGAGACAAGCCTCTGTTAATGAGTGTAAGTTCAAGCGGATGTTATTTTGATCAAAAGTTTGGTTTGATTTCTGCTTGTTTATCATTGTGGTAAACTAGAAGGTGGGTATACTTTTCGCTGGATGTGGTTACTGTACAACAGATGGTTTCATCCTCAGTAGATGTGGCTAAATAGAATTTAGGCAAAGTTAGACTCAAACCAATGCAGCCAGCAGTTTTTCCCTCACTGGTACGTGAGCTGTGGGTTGGCCCTCAGCGGATTTGCAGGGCTCTTGTGTTTCACTGCACTACGTGTGCAGTTCAGTTAGCTGATCTGTGTGAATCATTTGCACAGCTCACGCTGGCGAATCTTTGCACATTCTTGCTCCCTCTCCTCCCTCCCTCTTGGTTTGCTAGTTTCATGGTACGTTTTCGGTCAGGTAAGTTATTTCCAGTGATATCTTTCAGTGTGACAGTGCCAGTTAGCGGCCACTTCTTGGGTTGGTTCCCACTTTCAAGGTTGCCATGGATACCTCCCTTCAGCATAATTATGGCATTTGGCACCCTGCTGACCTTTTAGGCACTAGTTCCCAAGCTCATCTATTTGTGATGGGTTTAATTGTTTATGACAATAAATTGCAGATGGAACAAGTTGAACCAGTACAGTCAAATCGAACTTTTTCCTGGAATGAAAAAGATGGGAAGTGGTACTTTAATTACACTTTGTCTTTCAGGTATTTTTTCAAGACTTCAGGGATTTAAACAAATCCACACATTGAACTGTCTATTACAATGGACCAAATGTCATGTGATCATTCTGTTTTGATAGGTTATTGGAAAGAAAGGTAGCAAGCTGATTGTTGATTTGCGTCGTCCAGAAGATGATGAACCGACTCAAGATGATGACAGACCAGTGTCTGTGCGGGACGCTCTTGTTTTCTTAGAAGTTGCTCGTTTCTCTTCCCCTGCTTCGAAGCCTGAAGGTGAGCAAATGCCATGCTTTCAGATACCTAAACATTATAAAATACCTTGCTTACCTGAAGGTAAATAAATGTCATGCAACTTTCTTTGAAAACTTTCCGTAAATTCCAAAAATTGGTTAAAATTCAAACCATTCAACTGAAAATTCCATGTTGCCCGCTTTTCTGGAATGATGTTCCATTTACCAATTGGGAATTTGAAATTCAAATGGAATTTTTGGTGGTATGAAAAGTGACCTTGCTCCTCTTATTGGTTTGATAAATTGGAAGAGTATTTTGCAGAGCTACCTAGAAATCTGGCATCAAGCAAAATTAATATCCACGTATTCTATTCTATGTTGCTTGGTGGTCAACAGTTAATCGAATCTTCTATTTTCCAATTCAAGTTGCCTTTCAAAATCCAAGAAGAATTCTTAGAAGAATTCATGTACTGGTGACATTGTGATTGATATATTTTACTGTTGGTTTTACCCCAGGCCTTTTCTTTCCCAAGAGGACCTACAAAGAACCAATGCCTATTGGAGAAGGAGCCTTTGTTGATACGCTAGTTACACATGTTGCTTCACCTGACGAAATCTATGTACAGAAGGTTGTAAATATCACGGTTTTAATAATGTAATTATCCTCTAATCCCCCTTGGAATATTAACCTATTGTTAAGAGCATTAGAGATGAGAATACAAGAAATTATCAACTGAGGATGCCATCTTGTATTGATGTACTGTCAAATTTTCAAAACTGCCATTANCAGGTGTTGGGTCGTGGCCATGCAGATTGTTCTGTAATGTTAACCATTTTCGTTTGCCTCTACTTTTCAGCTGCGGAGTGAGGAGTCATTGGAGCTGCAGCACATTATGGAAGAAATGAGCAAGATGTTTGGTGGACGGAGGCGTGGTACCGAGTGGAGTGTACCATGGCCTTACAAGGGTAGGACTGTCAAATGCAGCAAATGCTATTCCCCCAGAATGGGGTGGTACTCCATTCCAGATTACTCTAAAGATGTCTATGTGGGGCTCCCCAGACAGCTCATTATTACACATTTTACTCACGGGCATCAATAAGACAGACTACCTCCACAAGACAGACAGTCAAATACAGACAGACTGTTTATACTCCAACCAAAGGTTTAAACTATTTAAATTATGCGTACGGTCCTCTCTTTGCAGGTCTGGTGTGTGCTGCGAAATTTACTGTAGACAAAGTCTGGTACAGAGCTTTGGTTACAGGTAGGAAAACAAAGGAATGCTAATTTGGTTAGCTCCATGATGGTACTAACGAAATGGCATATTGTGTAAGGTGCTAAAGGACGCACACATAAAAAAATAAATAAGTAAGAAACAGCTATAAATTGGAAATTGTCTCGCCCAAGAGCACATTATGCACACCACCCAAACTAAAGACCAGCCTGGCACTGCTCCTACCACTTTCAAAGGTGGCTAACAGGCTGAACGTATGGCTGTTAGTGTCTATTCTTGTTTCGTATTTTGGCTTAAAATATCATTTGATTTTCCTTGTTACATAAGCAGAATCTGCCATTAAGTTCTCGTAGGCATCATCTTAAAGTGAAGACCATTCCACTATGCGAATCTCACGAACACCGCCTAATAGGCCCTAGTCAGCCACATCTTAGTCTTCGTTTACATGCGAGAGTTTGGCTATTATATTTTATTCGGAGCATGTCGAATCGAAGGAAATCACTGTCAAACAGTACTTAAGATAATTTAAAAATATACTTTCAGAAACACAGCTTACAGTACTGAAAGCAATAAGATTTCGCTTCACCATGCAATATCATGCGGTAACCTGCGAACGCAGACGTATTTCCGGCTGTCGCTTGTCTCCGCCGAAAAATAACGTGTGCGAACCTGAGCCAGGAAACGATTTCTGTGACGTAGGAATTTTAAGCCAATCACAGTTTAGCTCAAGTAACCCCAGAACTACTGCGCGAGGTATTCGCTACGAGGAGCACTCGAGTTTCATTGCATCATGGAATCTGATTGGCCAAAGAGAAACAGAAGTCATTACGTCACAGAAATCGTTTCTTGGCTCGGGTTCACAGACGTTATTTTTCGGCGGCGACAAGCGACAGCCGGAAATACGTCTGCGTTCGCAGGCTAAAATGGCGGAGACTGACTGGGGTCCTTTAAGTAAAGATAGAGTCAACAATGCTGTTGTTCTTGTGTCATGTTATTCGCTTTGTTTGTATTTACAGCCGTGAATAGTGACGAGACAGTGGATGTAACTTATGTAGACTTTGGCAACTCAGAAAGGCTTCCATTTGCCGACATCAGAAAGCTGCCAGATATGTTTCTTAGACTGGCAAAGCAGGTAAGAATTCTTATTCATGTAGCCGAACATCAAGCTTGAAGACAATACGGACTGACGTGTAGTCCTGTGTGAGAGTTCTTAGTCTGTCCAAAGTATAGTAGGAAGGGCAAGTGTTCTTACCTCGTTAGCGCGTTGGACTCCATATCAAGCGGCCTGGGTGGAGCCCTGGCCGGGGTCAATGCATTGCTTTATTGTAAACAAAGTTTCTTAGGGGAAAAGTGTTTGAGTAAAAGCTGTTAAGTACTCATAAAAACTGAGATCCTTTGTGAACGTACAGTTACTTTTAAAAATGATACATTAACAAAAATGATGGACAATCTCTTTGTCTTGTAACGACTGTTGAACTTGTAATGCTCGATAATTTTACCACACGCTATACTTGTTTTCACCTAATTCTTTTTTTCATGCTCTACATCGTTCCCAAATAGAAATCCAACCACATTTGAAACGCAGAATTCCTACTGACAAAAAAGCCCACCAAAAAACCCTTTTGAAAAAAGCGTGGCCGAGTGGTTAGCATGTCGGCCCACTACTTGGATATGTGTCATTGTAGCCCCGAGTTCAAATTCTTGGCCGCGCTTGTAAATAGCCAACTGGTTTGCCTCTGGTCAGTTGTGATTCATAACAAAGTTAAAGCGGTTTGCAATTAAGTGTCAAAAGTAATTGGACTGACAATCACTTTGGTTTTGGTTTTACTATACAGTTTGAGATTGGCCGAGTTGTAAATAATTGGTTTGATTTTGGTTTTACGACAGTGGACGCACATATAAAACCGCTCTTGAATTATTTTGTTGGCTGGTTAAGGGTGACATGCCTTGTAGATTGACTCGCCTTACGCCTTGTTTCAATAGCGAAATAATTTGTTTCAGTTGTTTGATCGGCTCTTCTAGCCTTTGTATTATAAACACTGCCGAGGGTAAATAAAGGTTGGTATTATTGTTACTGTTATGAAAGCAAGGCTTATTATCAGAATTTTACGGTGTCCTTAAAACGATGGCAAGCACAGTAAGAGATTATGAAATATGACAATACTAGGGATGGTATTATTGGATGGTTGTTCTGTGTTTTTCTCTCAGGCGTTACTTATTTGTCTCGCGGATATCAAGCCTACTGGCGAAGAAACAGAATGGCAGCAACAAGTATGTAGGAAGGATTTCTTGAGTATGACGTTCACACGGTGTTTTTATAGTCTCTAATCTATCCTCTTTATTGTGTTTATACTTTTTTTCTGGCACAAGTAGTTTCAAACACCCTCCGGGGTCCTGCTGATTTTACCTGTAATTTGTTTCCACGTTTATTTTTACATTTCGTTTTCGCTCCAACCAGGATCAAGTGAATATATCAAGCTTGCTGCTGAACAGATCGTTAGTCATCGATGTTAAAGGTACACTGTTGTTGGTAAAAAGCATTCTTGAAATCATTCAAAACTACGTGCTTACTTTCAAGTCCCCTTGCGATAGTTGTCACAAGGAGTGGTGTAGTGGCGTTTATTTGAGTGTTCTTGGCTTACTTCAGGTGTGGAAGATGGCAAGGTGGCTGTAGTGTAGTGGCGTTTATTTGTGTGTTCTTGCGTTATTTCAGGTGTGGAGGATGACAAGATGGCTGTAGTGTAGTGGCGTTTATTTGTGTGTTCTTGCGTTATTTCAGGTGTAGAGGATGACAAGATGGCTGTAGTGCAGTGGCGTTTATTTGTGTGTTCTTGCGTTATTTCAGGTGTGGAGGACGACAAGATGGCTGTAGTGTAGTGGCGTTTATTTGTGTGTTCTTGCGTTATTTCAGGTGTGGAGGATGACAAGATGGCTGTAGTGNTGTGGAAGATGGCAAGATGGCTGTGCTGTTATATGACACCTCAGGCGCACAGGACGTTTGTATCAACGAGTTTCTTGTGCAGAATGGCTACTGTCAGCCAGCTGGATTGGGGTATGCTTTCCATTTTGAGCCAATTACGACAATCACTGAAGTGTAGTTCAGTGTTCCAGATAAGTGAGGGGTCTCGGGTCAAAAACCTGACAAGTTCAGGTACATGATCTGATAAAGTAATAGAAAATTGATAATGGTTTGGTGGGAGCAGTGAGAATTGACCCGTTGGAATTCTTTATTGACACCCGGCCTTAAAAACGTATCTGGAACCCCGGTAGTTTGATCGATATTGCTTATTGTGAACATTTCCAATACAGATGCCTTGCTTCGAATTGTTACGGAATTTTGAGTTATTTTGGCCACGTACAAAATTACCTTTAAATTGAAGGAAACCTGAAAATAGCAGTTTACTAAGATGGAAAAATACCAAAGAGATAATAATAAATCATAAAGGAACAAGGATGGTTAATGGTGGAGACGATTGACGCGGTTTGCAAACGACGAACTTAAATAATTTAGTGTAAACTTTTCAAGACGCGTTGCACAAACCGTGACTTAAACGAAATTTAACCAGAGAGTTAGCGGTGTAAGGTAGAAAATTACAGAAAAACATCTACTGCGAAGCAATTTCAAATTAATAAACGTAAGACACAGTTGAACTTTTTGTGATCTCTAAAACTTTGGTACAACAGCTGCGGCGATATTTTTGTTTTATATTAACGTATTGCATGGCGAACAACAAATTGTTTAGCTTTGTGACAAATATGTAGTTTCCAAGGTAGCAGCCTCTTGAAAAGAGCCCTCATTGGTCTTTATTTAGCTTTGCTGAGATCATAATTTATGCATTTTTTAAACAGTATTTCATAAACTTAGAGGTGTGATTGTTTGCTTAGTAGGAAAATTTTTTTTTCATGTCCTGAGTATAATTTTTCCAAGATATTCTAGTACAGTCGTCGTTTTGTGTGGTGATTGGCATCTGATTTCGTGGAGAGTTAATATTTGCGTTTCAGTTATGTAAAGGAAGAGGAAGAGACAGAAAAGGCAAAAGTGATAGAAACAGGAAAAGTGCACGCGAAACGTAGCATGTCTCGGATTCTCGCATGCTCATTCAAGCGTTCTTTCAGTATTGTAAAGAGCCGACATGAATTAACAGCTGAAAGCGAAAACGCAGGAGATAACACCGACGAACAAAGAGAACCAGAGCAGACAGTGGAAGAAACGGACAGTCTGCAGGAAACCGTGAGCGAGGCTGACATTCAAGGCGAACAGTCAAGTGAAACCAGTTCTTTCACAGAGGAGAAAGCTTTATCTGAGGAGAAAATCGAGTCAAAAGCTAACGAGATGCCGGTCTCGGCTGGGGATTGTAAAGAGTTCGAGTACAAGCCAGCTGCCTTGCCAGAGAGGAACAGATTCCAAGCTGGTGTCACGTTCGTGGATTCCCAAGGTTATGTTTATGCTCAAGAAGTGAAGGAAGGTAAGAACGTCACTAGCGACTGTCCAGAAGAAAACGTCGAAATAAATAAATTACAATATTTAGAGAGGAAGCCACATCAGCCTTAGCCGGTTTTTATGCAGGTCCTCTGTCCTGGTCGAAAACTGATATAAGAGCAGTCATTGTGTTCATAAACAGAACGGTTTCCAATGGCTATTGTTAAGCCAAAACCAAAGAAATTGCGTCTGGCCAATCACAGCAAACATAACGAACGCAACGAACCAATCAGAGCTCGAAGCATGCAATCTGTGCCAAGCGCTTAGTCACGATTGGTTATGTGTTTGCTCCTGATTGGTTGACAAAACAGCTTGTTTGCTCTGATTGGTTGAGCTCATTGCCCGGTTTTTGAACAAATTATAGAGAAGAGAATTTCTTTCATAGTCAGTGGAAATGAAAGAAATGTAGTCAATCCCAATGGAATATTAGTAATCGAGCTAAACTGTATCTGACCAAAAAGGAACATACCACAGTCCCCCTACGTTTCTCTTCAAATCTCACCTTGTGTTTGATCGCGTCATGTCACGTTTGTCTGGCTGGGAATACGTAAAACAGGCCTCTATGTTTTGAGTTCGCTGGGTAAACTATTGCAGCGTATTTCTCGATCTTCTGTCGTTCTAGGGGACCGTACATTGATAAATATCATGGGAAGTCTTTTGGAGAAGTACGGTAAAGGCGAAGACTTGTCAGCTGCACCGGTTGATGCAGCATCAGCATCTCCAGGCCTCCCTTGTGTTGCTCAGTTCACGGAGGATGGTATGTGGTACCGCGCAAGGGTGGTGAAGTTTGTAGAGGAGGACAAAGTGGAGGTAAACTTTCTGTCATTGTAACACCCGTCTCACAACTCAGCATTGTTAGCCCTGTTTCCTCTAAGGGACGGACCATTTTTTTTTTGAGGCGCGGTGGGGTTGGGCAATTTTTTTTTGGGGGGGGGGG